AACAGCTATTGATTCCATCTTCAATATGCAAGGCAATGGAATATTACCCTACATATTAGATTAACATTTCTTGACATTTATGACTGATTTGAAGTCAGACCTTTTAGTAAGGTCACATTTCTCACAAAAATCAAAAAGTGCAGCAAAAGATAAAAATTACTGTAATTTCATTCTGGAAAGCATTATGTATTTTTGACTTAGAAGTCACTATCTTTTAAGTCTGCTTTTTCATGAAGCTCTTCAGGGTTGTATGTCAATGTAATACTGTGTCAGCACAAAATTAGGTTGTACTGTGCAGGGGTAGAGTGAAGGAGGAGATGAAAGCAGATGCAGTAAGTTCCGAAATTATTTGAATTTGGCATCGTTTTTCTGAGATATCAAAAAGTGCTCCCTGTGAATAGAAGAAGTCAGGCTAGGGATAGTTCTAGTACAAACTCACAGCGATTAATGTAGTACACAGTGAGATTATAAAATGCCATACAACAGCAGCTTTATGGTTCAGTTTTGTAAAGCAAATGGTGTAATTCTAAATACAATGAAATACTGGCTGTGCTGAATGGAGAAGACCATGGAAAAAGCTCCTGTTTAACTTGATGAGGCCAGGATTCACAACATAGTTTCTGTAGGGGCACTATGTTTCAGTTTCATTAATCTAGCAAGTTTCTTTTTGCAAATAACAGCACCAGGTACAAGTTTGTTGAGAAATGAAAATTTAAGAAAACATGTTGCTTACTTGTTATCAAAGGATCTACTTTTACTTCATTAGACAAACATGATCTGCTATATTCATTTATGGCCTGCACACGGAGATAATAAAATCCAGAAGTAGCCGTGATGATAGATGAAAAATTGCATTGTGTATCAGTGATGTTTTCACACCCGTGTATATTAAGCCACTTCACTGAGTAATCATCATGAAGCTTCTTCAGATACCCTCTGCAAGAGATATTTTAATAGTTTTTGATGTGAGGCCTTTGAACTCAGGTGAAAAGCGGGGGAAAAAGAGCATGTTGACTTGTGTTACATAGGGCTTTTTTAATTTTGGAAGAATGGGCTCATTAGAAATTTCTCATATTTGGAATATCATTTTTTTCATCTATAACTGAAACAATGGAAATTAACTGGATCAGGAAATATGAATTAGTGCTTTATAAAGCCTCAATAGAAGAATTATGTATCAGTTTTAGAAATTTTTAAAATCCAAGTAATATTTTTCATATAGCTCCATTAACTCAAACGTTTTTCTGTCATGACAAAGGAATTCTAGAAGAATGCTAGACGTATCTCTTCATTTAGATGCTGACCACAATATTTGTGCAACAACCGGATACTGAGATACAGGTTCGCAGACATGATGGGGTTTTTTCCATGCTGGGATGTGACCAGAAATAATCAAATATGTGGACAATTGAAACCTTGAGTACCTGCATTTTTACTCACTTCTAGTCATCTAATTTCTTATGAAGCAATGCAAACATCTTTTAAAACTTAACATTTATTTAGTAGCCCATTCCAGCTGGTATTTACACTCTTAAAGAAGCCTAGTACCCTGAAATTATAGAGTATGATGTTATATGCAATCCTTTCAAATGCCACACTGTGTCCAGACGAGGTACCTCAATGTAACAATCAATAGCCACTTTCTGTAAGTATTTCACTTTAACTTCTAGTAACTATTTGCAAAATACAATGGATGGCATTTAGAATGACATAGCCTCTTTAAACAGAGATATGGAAAATGTTTAACTCACATGAGATACTGTACATTGTAGCTCACATGTTGTTTATACTGATTAGTCCAATGTAGATGAAATTGCATATTCAAAGCAAGAATTCTCAGATTTGTTGGACAGAGTACGTCATTCACTGCTCAAAATAAAAAGGAAAACAACAATTTCTTACTGAATGGGTATTTCTCATGTAAATGATCACGGTACACCTCCAATAATTAAAAAAATAATCTGTTTTCATTCATTATAAAGATGGCAAATCAAAGTCTGTGATATACACAGCATATTAAGCCTTTAGTAAAAACAAAACTTAAAAATCAATTCAGAAAAAATTAAGTGCAGAAACTTGAGATTAGTAGAAACAAACTCGTTCAGCAATAACTTTGAGAAAAATGCGTAAAATACATATGCATAAACATGAAGAAATTTTGATGTACCATCCATTCAATCTAATGTTTGACTTTTGACATTCCCACAGTTATTTTTTCCTGAAATAAACATTTAAAAGTACTTAAACTTACACCTGAAGAGAACACAAAAGAATTTAGACAAGCAAACAAACAACTGGTGGCAAACTGCCACTACGCCATTCTTCAGAATCCATAACAATAAACTCAAAGGCCTGCATAAAACCCAATATTATTTTAAGCTTAGCACAACTTCATATGCATTCACTTAGTGCCAAGTATACAAAAAGCTTTTGTTTTGCCTACATACACATCCCTTTCCTCCTCATTCAGTGACAAATTCAAAAACATCCTATTTTCCAAAATAAAGGAAGTAGCTTTTGCAATACAAATTCATGGGTGGAATTTGCCTCAGAGCAAAACTGGTTTTGTACTATTAAGACTAATATTGATTGGTGGTATATTTTATCTTGATTTAAATTGAAAATTTACATCACTGTCAAGATTGCTGTTATACAAAAATGAGTAAGAATGTAGCACTTCTGCCTATTTCTATTGCTTTAGAACAATTCACTTCCCAACAGTTTAAATTTAAGTAATCATTTTAAGATAAAACGATTTTACTCTGTACCTTTACGGGTTGTTTTTATACAACGAATGGGACTGAACAAGCCTTCTAGCAGCTCCAAATGAAGAGTTGCTTGAACTTTCAAACAATAGGTAGTGTCTGGTGCAAGATCATCAATTGTGTCAGTAGGAAAAATACTTTGACTTCTGAACTGTAAGAAACAATTGCAAACAGTATATGAAGATAACTGTTCTTCCTTATGAGCAGTATTTTTTTTTCCCCTTCTCCAGGTTTCAGCCCCATTTATATAATATGCCATAAAAGTGCTAAAATAGGGAATGGAGGACAATATAAAAGCTGAATAAGTGCTAAAGGGAAGTTCCAACTTAGCTACGTGACAGAGAGGAAGGAGCACATCATGCTCCTTTAACACATGAAAGTGTGGAGGGATTGTGGCACCGCTTTACATGATGCATAACTCAACACACAAAGATTCAGGCATACAGTCAGAAATAGTACACTTCCGTCCCTCAATTAATCGAGCAAACACTTCCTCCTCCCTCTCCTGCTACCTCTCTGCTTTCAGTTTACCAGACTTTTCAGCAACCAAACTTTGTACACAGCTTGTACTTAAATTAAAGCTTTTTCCCCCTGCTTTGACATGTAATGATTGTAACAAGGTCTTCAAAATCAACATAGATACTCTTCAATTCCTGCCCTAGTCTAGCTGGCACCCATTCCCCTAAAAGGATAGGGGAAAAAACCAACAACCCAGACTGCTTCTACTTTGGTCTTTACAGAATAGCTGTAGGTGCTGTACGATATGCACATTATGGCTTGGAAACTAGTTCACAAATTCAAGACCTCAAAAGAATCCTTAAAAACCCCAACCTACAGTGTAGAAACAGAGACTTCAGTTAATGACACAGAACAGTATAGTGACAGCTTTAGTCAAGCTGTATGGTCTCAGTAAGACCAAGCTAGCCTCTTCTCCCCTATATCTATGCCTTACTGTAAATGCTTCTTCCCACTGCCTTGACCTCTTTCCCCTCCCCGTTCCTGCTGGCTGAGGGTGGCTCCTGCTCCAACACATCTGAGATGGTTTCACCTTCTTCCTCATGCATTGGAAATTGGGTCCACAGAAATACGAACTCTTATCACAAAGTATCTAAGGCAATCCTCTTAGTAAAAACAACCAAAAAAGAAAACACCCTCTCCTCACTTTTAAGCTGCATAGCAATGGTTATACACAGTTACCTAATTAACCAACTCTTTATTTTAGAACATGAAGCAATAAAAAAGTACATCTGACAGTTATGTTAAGGTTAAAAAATAATAGTAGTAGTAATAATAATAATAAAAAATAAGTGATCATACCTCTGAATTTGATGAATTTTCCCAGATAACTAGTTTATATTTAAAATACAGAGGAGTTATCCACATTTTTCGGACCTGATTTTCTTCTGGAGGAGAAACCTTAATTTTTATGACTCCATTCACGGACTGCAACTCTATTCCTGGGGGCCCGATCTGAGCTGCAAATATTAAAGGGAAAAAAAAATAAATAAAAAAATAGAAAGTCAAGCATGATTATTTAAAAACACCAAAAAAGTAATTTACATTCATAAACCCACAGTAATTGCCTATAGTATCTTATTTTTAATTATTCTAAGACAGTAACAAGATCACAATAATTGCCTATAGGATTTTAGTTTTCATGAATCTCAGGCAGTATCTAATAGAAATCTATCCTAACAACCAACCACTGCTACCTGGTTCTAAAAGCAATGGAGTTAAAATGCAGTCTTAGTTATTGCATGGTTTTTAGAATCTACAGTGAAAGTCAGCGTAAGTTTTTCTAAAACATTCAAGGCACGAAACCTAGCTCAAAGAAATCAATGCCATGTTGAGGGAAGGCTTCAGCACCACACTATACTGTAATGACTGAAAAGTCACAAGATCAGAAGAAAACTTCCAGTAAAGTCCAATGTCAAAAAGGATTTTTTCTGAATTCTAGAAAAATACAGACTGACAGAAAACTCTGTCAGGAAAAAAGCATCACTTACAATAGTATTTCCCCCTTTCCAGAAAGAGAGAACCATAACATTTCATGACCTGCAAACACCTTAAATTATGCAAAGGTTGAGAAAACAACCAGCTCCTTTTGCTATGAGCAATGGAACCTACACGCATTTTTTCCACAGTCATGTGCTGAAGAACGTTTAACTAAAAATGTTACAGTATATATGGAACTCATACCTATAAAATATGGAATCATTTCAAAAACGCTAGACCACGGAGACACTTCTTCCCTTCTTTCAGCCCTTATACGCACATGATACATATCATAATATTCAGTTATTGCTGAGGAAAAGTCACATTCTGTGCAAGTAACATTTTGACACCCAGGCAACCCCTTCCACTCTGTTCCATTTGGCTCAGATTCTTCAAACCTGTAAGAAAGAAAACACCCCCAAAAATAAAACTAATACACAATTTAAGTCTTGAGATTCTTTTTCCTATTCTTCTTAATGCTAGTAAGTGTCACACCATTTAATGCTGTTTCATCACCAGCACCAATGCAATCAATGTTATCTACTTAGTTACCCTGGAATTCATACTGCAATTTTAATTCATTAATTGAATCTATTAATTTATTAAGTTAACCTCATTGCCAAAGGTTAACTATCACTCTGAAAAGTCTGAGCTTGCTTTATTCACCATGTAAACACACAGTGTCAGAAAACAACATTAAAGAATTGTCAAAATCCAGAATTATATCGCTAGTACACAATCCTGGGCTGGCAAGGATTTTATAAGTCATCAGAAGAAATTTAAAAGTCCTGCTGGCAAGATGTGCTTAAAAGAGTATAAAAGAAGCAAAAACAACCCCCCAATTCTGACATTAGCAAATAATGTAGATTAGGGGGAAAGAAAGAAAGGAGAAAATGGGAGTTCAGCACTAAGTGTTGGAATAATTAGCTTTATAGAAGCTATTTTTCTTGTGAGTTAACAGACATACACACCTCATTTAAGAAAGAGACATTTCATACAGAGATTAAGTACGTCCTGACCAGAAGAGAGGCACAGACTTTAAATAGTAATTGTTTATTCTCAATTCCTATTTTATCTTTCAGTATTAAGACCAGTATTATGCTTTTAAAATAAAACTATTTTCAAAGTGTCTCTTTCTCATCTACGCATCGAATATGATGAGTTGTTTGGCGGTTTGTTTTTTTTTAATAAACCTAAAATTATACACTAGGCAATCCTAAAATCAAGAACTTCAGTGATTTTGTCATAGAAGTGTTTCTGAATATTTACTTGTCAGGAAAATACAAATATTTGCAAAATAAAGAACGTATAAAACCAAGCAAACATTTAAGAACAAAAATTGTTTCATCTCGTGATTAAAATTTGCAGATGAGAAATCTAGATTCATAAATACTGACAAATTATCAAAAAACTACACTGAAAATTCTCTCAAAATCTGCATGTGTGGCCACAATGTACCTTAATTTAAAAACAAAACAAACACACACAATGCTGTCACACAGAAAGAAAACCAAAAAATCAAACCCAAACCCAAATAACCAGAGAATAAATAAATCTAAATACTACATTTCTAAGTGCAACAGTTAATCTTCTCAAAGAACTGCTTAATTGTTAAGCATTACTACCAGGGGTGTTCTGCATTTATAACATGTCACAATTGGTGAACAGTCTAATTTTACACATGAATTAGAAAAATGAAGGACAATGCTCAGATTCCACTTCATTTCAAGACTTGATCTTCGTGTCCTCTACTTTCTGGATTTCAAACCATCTCCAGGAGTTTTATGTGACAGTATCGAGAAGTATAGTAATTAATTAATATGTTCCTCTACCCAAATACGTGCCAGACATTGCTGTCTTAGAATAAAATTACTACTTACCACCTGTATTCTGCTGAAAATGTCACATTGGTATCATTCCCAGTGTAGTTCCATCTTAGAGTGAAATTTGTATTTACAACATAGACCTGGATATCCTCTGGACTCTTCAGATTAGTTTGGTCTACAAGAAAGTAACATAAAGGTATATAAAGATTGGGATAAGTAACTTGTACATGACTCAGGAATAACTTCTGTTAAAAAAAGAAGTAGAAAGTTACAGTGAAACAACAAAACATACAAGAGTTAAGAAAACACCACGCTACTCAAATGACACTTCAATATACAGCTCAGAAGTGCCATATATATGTATATCAGAGGTACATCAGGTAGCTCCTCTGCCTGTTTGACTATATGGCTCCTTCCCTCTGTGCTTAAAATCTTTCTCCACGCACCCTTTTTAAAAAGGTCTATACAGTTGTAACATTCAAGGCCTTTGTTCACCTTTGATTATAAGCAGTCTGAAATGCCTTTAAACTCGTATTTTATTAGTTGGATTCAACATCTGGATCTCAGCTGCAAACTGCTAGGGATTGACCTAATGCTGTCATTTCACAGTTGTGAAACAGACTGAGCATAGCAGATTTGTTTTATGTTGCGTGTTACTCCCATAAATTAAATCTATTGAGCATAAATCCCTTCAAGCAATGCTCCATCACATAGCAGATCTTGTATCATGCTCATGGTAATCCTGGGTTTTCTTTTACACAAAGAGCAGTGCTTATGGACTTATGGAGGGCAAGTGCTAAGTCTCAGGACACATATAAGAATGTCCATAACATCAAGGGAAGGACCAGCTAATGAGAAAACATAACAGGCAGCTTGCCAACAGGAGGAAAGCAATCATGCTAGAATCATCTGTCGGAGAGCTTGCTCTCTCCTCTATTTTCCACCTTTCAAAAAATAATTTAAAAACCCCAACTGCCTCGTAATTACCTTGTACTCCACTTCCTACAGAAGACTTCTTTACCATTAGCTTTGAGGTATGCAAAATCCTAAGTGTTCCATATGAGATACAATTAAAGTATCAGAGGACAGATGAGAGTAACAGTGCTGTGGCAAAAGGAGTTACTCCCATACTTACAGAAATTGAAGCTTATCCAGCTGTTCCTCCTAAAGGTACTTTGTTTTGAATTACTTCATAGCAGTGTATGGCACTGCTTCAAAGCGGTGCTGCAAGAAAATTTCAATCAGGGCTGAAAGTTCGGACTGCAAGTTTTCTTTACCAGAAACTAAACCAGACTGTGGCTTACAGAGCAAAGGGAAACAGTGTGAAGGCACAGGGAACATGTGTGAACTGAGGAAACCTCAGGCAGAAGTCATTAAAATTATACCAAAACCTCTAATCAAGAATATCCAGATTTACAGAGCTTAAACTTCATCTAAATCCTTCTGCCAGGTACTGCTGACAACCCAGGTTATGTACAATTTAGGCAGCAAATACCTCTGTCCTCTAAGAATGCACTTTAATCTTCTAACACATCAGGAGAAAAACAATAAAATCAACAAAATAATTAAAAAAAAAAAAAATCAAATCACCACAGACACCTCTGGCTTGACTTTCTATTTTTAATCAGTTATGTGTTACATTATTAATCACTTTCCAACAGCTACAACTTCCAAAACCACATGTTACTGACCATGCCTCTGAAACTGCTTTTTGATTTTATTAGGAAGAAATCAGAACAAATACATTCTATTTCTCCTGGACAACCAAAGTCTGTTTGCACATCTAATGGGTTATCTTGAATTTGATTTTCACAGTGGCTCTTCCTTGCCAAAACTGTTTCATATTTTACATGATGACCAAGTTTTCCTTACAAAAAAGAAAGGTACGTGGAAAAGTAATCTATAAACTGAGGCCTGAAATGTCTTTTTGGAGTCCCAGAGTTGAAGTGGTATCCACAGATTACTGACTTTTGCAAATGACTCCTGAAAGCACAAAACTTGAAAATAATTCAATAAAACCCTGTGGATCCCACTACAGAAGTTTCTTTCACAATGCATTAATTTGTTAATCCTCTAAACTGAAAGATTAAGATAAAACCAGAGAGTGACAAACCATATTTGATCATCAGAAAATAAGAAAGCAAAGGAAATAACTCTTTTTTCAGACATTTATCTAACAGATGGCTACAGTTCAGCCAAAAAGCTTACGATAACAAAGGCAGCTAGTTCAGATTTTTGCAAAAAAATAGCAATTGTGACTATTTATAGCCCTTCACAAAGGAAATACTTGCTTCATAGGAAAACATTATTTTCACTTTATTTGAGAATGTTTGTATCAAGAATCAAAAAGCCTGGAACAAAAAAGTTCCACGGGCTTTTCATCATCATCATCATCATAATGAAAAGGAAAAAAACCCACAACTCTGCTATTACCATAGAAAGTGTAAGCCTGTCAGAGCCACCAAATTTGTCTGAAAAATACCACCACCTATGGGAATTGATAGATTGAATGTTATAATCTTGCTTAGCAAAACTCATTGCTTTATGACCCAGTGGAAGATTATTTAAGTGTTGTGATACAGCATAACACTTTCCATTTCAGTTGTAAAAAAACATCAACAGATTGACATTATTCACATCTAAAGTGCAGGGTAGTATACTTCTCCCTGTAAATATGTGTATTCTTGTGTTTGCAGAGACCTAAAAAATATAATTCATACACTCAATCTGTTTAAATATTTATTTGTAAAAGATCTTACTAAACAGTATGATGAAAAACTTGTTTCAAACCATCTTTTTGGAATGTAATTCAACTGCTGACATTTGAATAGCCTCCTAGAGCAGACAGGAAGCGAGATCTGGTTTCCTGAATTCTCTAGGAGCACACACACCAGGTTTAAAAACTTCCCATGGCAGTACTAAACTTCTAGAAGTCTAGGAGAGTCCCAACGTAGATTCTTTACCCTGAACAACATAAAACCTCAGAGTAAACCACAAAAATGTAGGATTAGATAAGACATAGTATTAGCTGAGAACAACAACGCACCTCCAGAGCTCCAACACTGAAAAAAATGCTACTGTATCTTAAGACTATTATTTTTGTTTGCCTTGGTAGAATTTAAAATATTCACTGCACTTCCAGAGTATCTTTTCCATATTTTCAAATTCTTATACAAAGCATGAAGTTTTACAATAAACATTTCTCATTTGAGGTCAGATAGGAAAAAGGAAGCCTGGAAGCAGAAACAAAATGGTTTCAAGACTCTTGTTCTAACAAGATACACTGTCTTGCCAAGTTATAAATACATGCTGATGTAAGACATCCAACTAACATTTTAATAGGACAGCTTTTTCTAAAGCTGGTAAATACCACAGCAAATAATCATATCCTTTCTGTGGATAGGAACAGTATTGTAAACAAACAGCTCTGGATTCTAACGTTTGGAAGACAATACAGTATTCCAGTCCTGGAGTAGGAGCACACACGGAGAACTAGAAGGGATTTATTCCAGCACAGCTTTGGTTAAAGGCCCAAAAGATGACTGTCGCAAGTCTTGGGTTTGATTGCCTTTTTCTCCGAGAACTTCCTCATGCAAGTTTGAACAAGGCTGGACTCCATCTTGACATTTAACCTTTTTTAATCCTCCTTACAAACTGCTGAAACAAGCTATTTTCAGTGTCACACGATCACCTTTACAGAATCATCTTTACAGAACTTTAAGAAACAGAATCATGCTATTCAGAGACATCACCTGTAAAATTAACTTAAAATCCATTACAGGGTTTAAAGTAACTTGTACCAATTACAATTCAGGGAATTTTCAGAAAGTTGTTCAATGTTATGTTCAACAACAATGTACAAGTGTGAGAGCACTTACAGTTGGTGCACAGCAATGGTCAAAAAGGGAGAAAGTTGGAAACTGCCATGGAATTAAGGGAGTAAAATAGAAAGCTTAATGTCATTATATAAATCCAAGTTAGACTTATTTTCCAACATTGCATGCAGCTCTAGAGTGCCCACTCTCATAGGCAGATAGCAGAGCAGAATAAGGCAGAGAAGGGTGACAAGGAGGTACGGAACAGCTTCTGTCCTGGGAAGAATCAGAACATGATTCTTCAGCCTGAAAATGAGATGGAGGGGAGAATATGACAGATCTACAGGCACCTAGTGAGTGGCATGAAGAATGCAAGATTGTTTGCTGTTGTCTTAGCACTAAGCTGAAAGCATCAAATCAACCACGACTCTGCTCTAAGCAAACAAATCAAACTGCTGCTTTACTGGATGCTTAGTCAACCTATGGAATTCCTTCCCCTAGAACCCGGTGAATGCTCAACTCTTACCAGGCTTATGAACTCAAAAGTGAAATACAAAGTCTCGACACTACAGACTGCCATAGCACTACGTTGTGAAGTGTCACTGTATACTCGAGTTTTTATTCTTTCCTACTCTGCTACCAACCACTGCTGTAGATGAACACTGGACTGGGCAGCTTTTTGCCTTCATCTGGTATAAAGCACAACAGGAAAAAAAACCCTGAAAAAATCCACAACGCTCTTCGTAGACCTATCTCGAGCTTGATTAGGTGCTATTCCTCGCCTTGGTCAGAAAACCGGATTATTGCTTCAGCTCCCAGTCCTGACTGACAACTGAATTATCTTCACCACGGAAACAAATTTCTACCCAAATTCAAACACTTATTAATTGAGGTTTCCAGGTCACAATTATGCTCTTTCATCTGTTCATCTCCTGCTGCAGGTAAGAAGAGGAATATAATTAGCCAGCTACAAGTTTATGCTCTGAGGAATGTCTTTGGTTGAAATTTGTTGAAAGTTAATCATCACCAATCCAACTCTAACCATTCTATGATTTACATTAGCTATTATGAAGAAGCTCTTCACTATGAGGGTGCTGAGGCACCGGCACAGGTTGCCCAGAGAAGCTGTGGCTGCCCCACCCCTGGCAGTGTTCAAGGCCAGGCTGGATGCGGCTTTGAGCAACCTGGTCTACTGGAAGGTGTCCTTGCCCATGGCAGGGGATTTGAACTAGATGATCTTTAAGGTCCTTTCCAACCCAAACTATCCTGTGATGATATGAATTTTAACACTTCCTAATCACCCATTCATATATTTGAAGTACAGAAACTGAGCTGGAAGAAACCTTGTAAGGTCACCTGTATTTCACATGGAAGAAATCAGGTGGCCAATTCTACATACATAACAGATGTTTGCATAGAGATGCCCTATAGTTTCCACCACCAAACAACGTATTTTTTGCAGGCCTTCAATCTGAAATGTTTTGCTATCCTTACCACTAGAGATTAGGGAAAGCTTTCTGTAAATCAAAAGCAAATAACTCCCACATCAGATTTCCTAATAGATTCTGCTGCAGGTCTGAATCTTTGCAGAACAGATCCAAGTTTCCTTACAGCAAGGACACTTGCTTAGATGTTGTTCATAGTCCATGAATTTACGTACTGCAAAACCCAGAGTCGAACCTATGTCTCCTCTAAGCACATTTAGACCATGTAATTTTGTCAATGTATATCAAAACACAATATTCTTTAAGTCAGTATACTTGAAAACTACGTTAAAAATGACTAACAATGAAAACTGAATGGCAGCAACAATTCTTTTAGTTTTTCTTTTAAACCAAATTTTCTAGCTTTCTGAATGACTTTTATTGTTCTCTTTTGCATTCTCTCCAAATGGTTGAACTTGCTTGAAACAGTATGCCGCAGAAAATGACAGTACTCCAGTTGAGATTAATAAATGGAAATGTAGCTTACAAAACACATGACCCAACTTCTTCATTCTCATTAGCACTGCTGTGCCCCAGTACGTGGGGGGTTTTCTACAGCACTGCACTTAAACTTCTGCACATAAATTACAAGGCATTGTAACATTGCATCTTCCCCCCCCCCCTTGAACTGATATTTAGACCATCCTTTGCCATTCTCTCTTTGCCTACACAGCCCTAACGCGTCCTTTTCCAATACTAGCATACCTTTTCCTGGAGTATTTCTC